CGAACAAACAGGTTTATAGATAGTTTCTATCCTTGGGCTGTGAGACTTTTAAATACAACCACAATCACTCCATGCACATGTTAGGGTTTTTTTTCTTTCTTTTTTCGTTTCTGTTATAATTTTGCACCAGTGAGGTTAAAACCAATTTCGTTGTATTTAAAGTACAATGACAATAAAAATTATACTTATACTTAAAATAAATAAAATAAAAATAAATAAAAAACCCTGGCTTTGTGCAACATTGGCAGCCACTGCAATACAAAAGCACCGAGGATATTGTGACACCCCTCCGCCCCCGCCCCAAAAAAGTATTATGCCCCCTGTAAGTGCACGGGAAATAACCCAGGACCCGATCCTAGCCTTGCCATCAAACCCCACGTTGAAGTTTTATGACAGATCCAGGATCCAGTGTGCAGGTGAGCGCCTCCAAGTAAACACGGAGCCCTTACTGTTCTAATACCCCAGAGTCCTTTAAATTAACCCCTTCTCCGCCGGTCCCTGAGCTGCTGCTGCTGCTGCTAGTCTTCCTCTTCACCCACCGGCTCAATTATCCCGAGGACTGCGAGAACCTGGCGGCCAGAGAAGGGCGCAACCCACGCTCCAGGCTTCCCTGGCCGGCTTCCTTCTGTCTCCCGAAGCCGCGCTCCCGCCGAAACAAGCTAGCCGTTCCCACGGCAACCGGTCGCTTTGGGCCTCTTCCACCTTCAAAAGCGAGTGGGGTGCGCCGGGCCAGGAGCGTTCCGTCTCGGAACGTTCCATTCTAGGAAGCCGAAGTGGGGGGGGGGAGGTGGCAGGCAGGCTGGGTCTGACCGCGGGTTTGGGGTTGTTGTTTTTTTCCCCTCTCTCTCTCAGTGCTTGCCTTTATTTAAAATCGAGCATTTGCTCCTTTTTCCAGCTCAGTGGGATAAGGGAGTTGATTTCCAGCTTCAGGACCTGATCAATGTGTGCCATATATCCAGATGGTCACTAGATGGCAGCTAAGATTACAGAATTTCTCAAAGTTGGGAAACTGCCCGGCTGGGGAATTCTGGGAGTTGAAGTCCACAGGTCTTAATGATGCCAAGGTTGGATACCCTTGCTTAGAGTGTACTAAAATGGTTGAGATTGCTGGCTAGCTCAGCTGGAAGGAATCAGATTGAAGAAATAGGAAAAAGCTATAGATGTTTCCGCATCTGACTAAATAGCTATGTTTTTCAGGAGCTCCAACATAAAATGTTGAGATTTGGGGAAAAGTTCAGAGAAGAGCAACTAAGATGATCAAAGGACTGGAGACTAAACCATATGAAAAACAGCTGCAGTTTTTGGGCCTGACTAATATTAAAAAAGATGAATTAGAGGTGACATGATAGCAATGTGTTCCAGTATTTGAGGGTCTGCCACAAAGAAGAGGGGGGTCAAATTATTTTCCAAAGCAGAGGGCAGGACAAGAAACAGTAATTGGAAACTAATGAAAGAGAGAAGCAACCTAGAATTCAGGAGAAGCTTCCTAACAGTGAGGACAATTAACCAGTGGAACAGCTTGCCTTCAGAAATCTCCATCAATGGAGATTTGTAAGAAGAGGCTATACAGTCACTTTTCTGAAATGTATACGTTGTCCTGCTTGAGCAGGGGGCTCTGTTCTCCAGCTGTATTCTATTCCACCCCTTAAAGTGAAGTAAAGGACAACCATTTAAATATGAACCAGCAGTGTGCAGCAGTTGCCAAAAAAGCCAACACAGTTCTAGGCTACATAAACAGAGGGATAGAATCAAGATCACGTGAAGTGTTAATGTCACTTTATAATGGTAAGGCCACACTTAGAATACTGTATTCTATTTTGGTCGCCACGATGTAGAAAAAGATGTGGAGACTTTGGAAAGAGTGCAGAAAAGAGCAACAAAGATGATTAGGGGACTGGAGGCTAAAACATGAAGAACGATTGCAGGAACTGGGTATGTCTAGTTTAATGAAAAGAAGGACTAGAGGAGACATGATGGCAGCGTTCTGATATCTCAGGGGTTGCTACAAAGAAGAGAGAGTCAAACTATTATCCAAAGCACCTGAGGGTAGAACAAGAAGCAATGGGTGGAAACTAATCAAGAAGAGAAGCAATTTAGAACTGAGGAGAAATTTCCCAACAGTTAGAACAATTAACCACCCTTCCGGCCTTCCGCAAAGCGACCAAG